AGGTGAGTGTGGGCGAGGTCCCGTATCTCACAATAGCATAGTATGGATGGTGTTCCATATCTTATTAGTAGTAGATCATGGGCGAGGCCCGAGATAGGCATGGAGTGAGTGTGGGCGTGGCCCATATCTCACTTACCGTAGGAGCTTAGATGGGGTTCCATGACTCACTCGTGACAGGACAGGACCGAGGCCCAAGACAGGTGAGGCCTAATGACAAGAATGTAGTAGGGTATGTTCAGTTATGTGTTATATGCTATTTTTGTACTATATGTGGTTAACGGGCGAGGCCCAGAGACAGGCGGGGCCTAAAAGAAATAGATCTGTGTCCGAGCGGGGCTCGAAGCCAGGTGGGGCCTGGAGCGGCGGGGCCGTGGTAGCCGGCGGGACCCGAGGTAGGGGTGAGGCTCTAAATAGCGGGTGTATCCCAGTATATGTTGTATGTGTTTGTGCAGGGTATGTGGTAGGTTGGGGAACTCACTAAGCTTCGTGCTTACAGTTTTCAGTTTTGGTTTCAGGTACTTCCGGTAGCGGAGGGAAGAGCTCGAGGTGATCGCACGGCACACACCATTGATTAGTCAGTTTAGGATGTTTTACTCTGATAATGAAATATGTTTTGAAATTAATATTATGAATTCATGTTATGACTTATGATATGTTTTTATGATTATGGCTTTGATAAGGATTTAAAGAAAAATGATTGGTACAGATTTTTGGGATGTTACATTTACCATCTTCACCAAGGTGAAGTGTTCGCTATTAAAGATTGGAAAAGGAGGATCCTGGATTCTCATGGCTGGTGATCGGAGAGGTGTTCTTTATAGAGGTATCCAGAGTTTTCCTTTGGTAGGGAGATCCGTTTGGAGGTGGTGGAAGATTATTTATGGAAACTGGGAGGAATAGATAAAGAATATAAAGTTGGTTGTGTAGACATGATTTTCGAGAATTAAGAAAACCACGACCCCATGGTGGGTGCCAAATTGTTTTGGTCAAAAATTAACCAAATTGCATGAGAGGTTGTGGTGTTGTGGTTGAAGTGATTAACAAAATTAGAACAATTTTTCACAAGTGGTTTATAGGTAAATCCCTTGATACTTGACGACATCTCCAACATAAAACCTTGGGAGGTGATAATAATCACCTACCTTGTTTGATTTTATTAATTTGGATGAAAATTACAGAAAAATGATGAAGATAAAAATACAAGTGTTTCAGTAGCGTAAGGTGTTTATGGTGTATGAAGATTGTGCTCATTGTGTGTGTTTTAAAGGTGTATATATAGTCTAGGTTAATTAACTAAGAGTCTGATATTTCTGGGATCATGTTGAATTGGTATTTGCAACATGCTTAGACTTGGTATTCCTAGGTTTTAAGCATGTTTGAAGTGGTTCTTCATTGTGAATGAGTCTTACGTTGACCATTTATACACATGTGAGAAATAAACAAGAAATATAGTCGTTAAACTTGTTTGGAAATAATGGTGATGTTTAAGATCCTGATACTCCTTTAAGATCCAAGATCCCGGATAGGTTTAAGGATCCTTAGATATCTTTGAGATTCGGGATCTTGGATGGGATTGAGGATCTTGTCCCTAACAATGTTGATCCTAACTTGCCAAATATTTTCAATGAAAAGCTACAATGGAAGGAGCAGGAACTTATGTAAGGTATGAGGTTTGAGAATCCCAACAATTGAAACATATGCTTTGTAACTATGTTGTTGCGAGTGGTTATCAATTATGCTTTGTAAAAATTGATAGTAGATGGTTATTAGACAAATGTTATGATGGAAAATGTACTATTAAGGTTAAGGGTTCATGGATGAGTGATGATAAGTCTTTCCAGATCAAGTCTCTTATAAGTGACCATAATTGTGCAAAGAATTTCAAATTAGGATCAGTTGTCACTTATAAATGGATATGTACCCATTTTACTCAAGAATTTGTTAATAATCAAAAGATGAGTGTCATATTGCTTAGTGAGGATGTGAAAAACACTTTTGGAATTGATGTGACTATGAGGGTGTAACATCTAGACTTCCAGGTATATTATTTGTTATTTATTTATTTATTTATCTCTTGAGTTACTCGACGAGTCGGTACTCCAACTCATTGAGTAGAGTCGCGATGTGCCACGTGGATTTAATGATCTACTCGAAGAGTCCGAGGAGCCGACTCGCCGAGTAGGCGCTGGGATGAGAAACCCTAAATCCCCAGGTTTGGGGCCTATTTAAAGGCACTTATAGCCTCATTTGCGGCTACACTTCCCTGAGAGCAAACCCTAAATGGCCTTTGAGCTTTGAGAGAGAGTGCTTTGCTAATTGTGAGTGTTTGGTGCATCTTGTGAAGATGAGAGAAGAATTCCAAGCAAGGGACAAGAAGGTGCTGCTAGATCTGAGGTTGTTTCACTTCAGAGCTTCTGGGAAAGGTATAAAGCTTGCACCTTTCTCATTATTTGGTATAGATCTCAAGATTTTGTGAATCTAGGGTTTTTCCACCCAAATATGAGGACCTTGAGTGTTTTATGTTCATTGAGAAGGTTGAACTTCAGATCTAGACCATGTGAGGTCCCTAGAGTACAAAAGTCCCTGCTTTATCCAACCATAATAGTGATCTTGAGTGAAAAACACTTTTTAAGGTGTGTTTTGGCATTTTAAGCTCAAAATGCCATGCATGAAAATAAAGCCTATAACTTTACATGAAAGATGAGCCTTAGGAGTGTAGATCTAGAGTTTGGGAAGGTTCTTTGTCTTGAAAACGACTGAATGAGATATGAGGCTGAATGGACTCGTCGAGTCAAGGAGCTGACTTGACGAGTCGGATGGGGTTGTCCTGGTGGTATTGATCACACAACAACTCGGAGAGTTGAGCCAGATTTTGAGTATTATTGTGGATGGCGAGCAGACTTGTCGAGTCCCATAAGTGCCCTCGATGAGTAGGGTCAACATGGACTGTTAACTCGAGTTCCACATCTGTTGACTTAGGGTTTGGTCAACCTTGTCTCTGGGAAACCATGGAGGGGTAAAATGGTATTTTTCCCACTTCAAGAGAGAGAGAGAGAGAGAGAGAGAGAGAGAGATAACTTATTAAAATGTGTGATTTAAAGATTTAATTAGATATAATTATCTTATGTGATTAGGAGGATGCTATATTTGGTGATTTGTGTGCGAGGAGTATTCATTTACTTAGCTTACTTATGAGGTGAGTCTTCTCACTATACTTACCAAGAGTGGTATCTTTATGTGATTGAGTTGTTTTATGTGTTTATTTGTGTATTGTAATATTATGTATTATTTCTTTGTGATTCATGTTGAATGTTGTTGTTGTGAGTTTACTGAGTTGGAACCGGAGGGTTCCACTGAGACATATTGGCTGGAAGGTCTTATTGAGTTATGGCCTAGAGTGGCAATGAGTTGTGTATGGTATTTTGGGGAACTCACTAAGCTTTGTGCTTACCGTGTTATGTGTTATGTGTTTCAAGTACTTCTTAGGATCACAGGAAGGCGATGGCTTGATTGTACACACATCGGAGATTGTTTTATGATTTAGAGGATCCTGGAGTTTTATACACAGTTTTCTTTTAAACATGAGTTTTGATGAATTGATATTGTGGCATTTTATGGTTTATTTATTGGAATCAATGTGTTTTAAAATTTTAAAAAAATGGTCTAAAATTTACGTTGTTATAGAGGGATGGTGTAGGAGCGCCAAGAAGTATGCTTTGACTCTAGTTGAAAGCACAATTGCAGAAAATTATTCCAGAATATGGTCATATTGTGAGGAGATTAAAAGATCAACTATTAGATCTACTGTAAAAAAAATAAAAATAAAAAAACTTGTGGATGCAATACCAAATGGTAAGAATTACTTCAGCGAGATTTACATATGTTTTGGTGGAGTCAAAGATGGGTGGAGGGGAGAGTGTAGAAGGATCGTTAAACCGGATGGTGTGTTTCCTTAAACGTTTTTGCCAAGGTGAGTTGTTTTCTGCAATGGGTAGGGATGTTAACAATGGAATATTCCCAATTACTTGGGCATTTGTATGTGTGTAAAACAAATACAATTGTATATAGTTCATTGAAAATCATAAAGAAGATTTGAACTGTTCAAATGAAGGATTTGGGCTCGTTCTAATTTCTGATCAACACAAGGTATGATTCATTTTATAAATGTACTATAATAAATATTGACAATTCTAACTTTATTACTTCTTGTTACATATGTAGGGTATAGTTGAGGCAGTGAAAGATTTATTATTAGTAGTAGAACATAGGCATTGTGCAAGGCATATCTATAGCAATTTTAGAAAGAGGTTTAGTGGAGCCCAGTTTGAATATATTTTTTGGAGAGCTAGTAAAGCAACAATTGAATCACATTTCAATGCAACCATGAAATAGATTCAATAGTTAAACCTTGTTGCCTTTATTCATCTTTTGGAGAAGTATCCTACGACATGGTCTTTAGCTTTTTTCAGAGTTCACCATGCTTCTTGTGAATTTGTGGAGAATATTCAGAGAGCTTTAATAACATCATATTAGATGCTTGGAAGAAGCCTACTATTAGCATGTTAGAGGATATTTGTACTTTTGTGATGCAAAGGATGGTGACTATGCAAGTTAAGGGACAAGGATGGAATTGTTACTCAATGTGTCCAGACATTAGATATGAGTTGAATAAGCTACAAACTGGACAGAGGTGTGTACACATATATACTTATACATAACTTAAATGTTTGACCTCTAATTATTTGCATTACATTATGTAGGTATTTGCAGGTTGTATCTTATGGGGTGATAAAGTTTGAAACAAGGAAAATTGATGAGACTTAGCTTGTTTATATAGAAAAAAATGAATGCACTTTCAGGCTGTGGCAACTAAATGGGTATGGGTGTGTTCATTCAGTTGATACATTATCATTTTTAAATGTTAAACCTGATGCACCATATGTAGACCCATTATACTAGGAGCCTTCTTCCATAATACTTACAAAAGCCTCATACATAGGATGAATGGAAGCAACATGTGGCCTACTACAGAGTATATTCCCTATTTGCCTCCAATGAAAAGAAGAATTCCAGGCATGCTAACCATGAAGAGAATAAGGGATGCTTCTGAAAGGCCTAGAAAAAACACAATTTCAAAAGCAAGGAAAATGGTTTCTTATGGCATATACAAACAGATAAAACACAACAAGAGCACTTGTACTCAAGTGGAAAGGCGATCCGAAATTAATGTGAGAAAGAAACAAAAGGTTAGGCAAAGACAAGAGTTAGTAAATATGCAAGGGTGTGCGGAAGATGATGTTATGATAGATAAAGTTGAACAACAAGGTGTGCGTGATAATGAAGACGAGAAAGTGGTTAGGGTTAATGAAGATGTTGAATATGATGTTAGTGTGGTTCAAGCAAGTAAGAGAAAAAAAACTAAAAGAATCCTTAAAATGAAGCTTGCTAAAAGAGTTCAAGGTGAAGGTAGCAGTGCTACAACAGCAATGAACTTGGATTGATTTATATTTTAACTGTGTTTGGAAACAGGGGTATTTATGGTATTTCACAGATGTGAACATTGTAAACAATGGGAATGATGATTGTAATTTAAATTTATGTTATGGTAAGTTTTACATATGATATTTAGATTTATATATAAAACTACATTTTGTTTACTTAAGCATCATAGTACATTGTTTTAGTCATTTTAGGCATTTTAGCCTTTAGGGGTATTTTACTCATTTTAGGTATTTTAGCGAATTTAACAGTTAGGGGCATTTTAGTTATTATTGGATTTTTTAGACGGATGGGTTATGTTAGGCAATTTAGTCATTTTTATAGGGTAGAGGTATTTTGGGCATTTTGTACATACTGGTATTAGGCATTCTATCCATTGGGGAATTTAATACATTTTACCAGGGTATTTTGATATATATATATATATATATATATATATATATATATATATATATATATATATATATATATATATATATATATATATATATATATACTACCTTATAAAAGAAATGTTACTATTTCTATAAATAGAATCAATATAATAATAATATTTTTTTAAGATATTTTTAAGCTTAAAGTACAACCAACTATTAATATAATAATATTATAATATATATCTTACAAATGATAATGCTAGGGATACAAGTATTAAAAACACATTTAAATTAGTATTTCCTTATTTTTAGGGATTGAATTAGTATTTTCATCAATTTTGACCCAACTTGTACTCCTAAAGTATCTCTTCTCTGGTATCTGGTGCATTCGAAATCTGAAACACTTATATTCGACAAATCGTTTGAAATTTAAAAGCTCATTCAAATTGGACTTCCCTAATTTTTTTTGCATAAAATATAGTTGACTGGAGACTAATTCAAATCTTCATCTCTTTTTCCTCCATGGAATCCACCACCACAATATTTTTTTGTTTTGACATTGCACTTTTTATTTTAGTGAAATCGATCGATAATGGTGCAAGTGTACTTAGAAATATAACATGTCTCCGAATGGAAATAATCGCTTGAAAGAAACTATTCGTCGCCGCCGCTTTGCGCGGGCGAACGGCTAGTATATATATATATATATATATATATATATATATATATATATATATATATATATATATATATATATATATATATATATATATATATACATTATGTTAATGGACATAAATTATATTAGTATAAGTAAACATGAAAATAGTATGGACGTCATGGTAGGTTGCTATTTATTAACGTAAAGAACAAAATCCAACTACACACCCGATTAAACAGTAGAATTTAACTTTTCTTATTTTTTCCAATTTTAGGTTAAAGACAAAAGGGGTATACATTAATTCCATTTTATGCATCTTGGGTTAGAATATTTCTTTTTGTCCTTTTCTTAAGTGAATACTTGTTGATCCCTCTTTTTTAAGTTAAAAACCACATTGACTTTGGCATGTTGTCCTAGCCTGCAAAACCAAATATATGGGACTTAGTTATAAACCTATTTTATTTATGGGGGTGTTTTGTATACAGAATTAATGCACATACAAAGTTGTAGTAGGAATGATAGTTCTTAAACATAACAATTTCATTTTATAGTGTTTGTTTCATACATTTCCATCAACTTACATAGATAATAGGATATACAAAATAAATCGTTCTTACATCTTAATAGCAACGATTACCACCACAAACAGGGCCACAAAATAAGAGCCAAAATAACCAAGCTTCACAACACCAAAATGAGAAACCCAAGAAAGAAATCATGTAACTTAGAGTTCTTCTCTTAGTGGAAGAAGTTGTAGCTTAAAACCCCCGACCCTAACAACAGTGACACATCCTCAAACACATTTGACTTTATTGAACTTGTTCTTGTCGACGATCATCTTGGCATACATAGCTTGAAGGGAGTAAAAGTGATTTTTAAGATTAAAACCCATATTTGACATGTCCATTTGGCATGTCCTAACATCATCAGCCTCATTGTTAAGGACGTCCATTTCTCTTCTAGCCCTCTAGTGTAGTTCGCACAAGTCAATATGAACCTCCTTCCAGATCAATGACACCTCCAAATGTGTTTGGAGTAGGTTGATGGCCATGTCTTCTTCCCTGAATCCATTAGACATGTTCACTTTCAAGTGATGGTGGTCGCTCAAGGACTAGGAGATGGGAGTTACGACATGTTCTTAGTGATTAGGGTATGAACTAAAGTACGCAGAAAGGGTAAGAAACTTTGGACTTTTGTCATTTTAAGGCATCAGATTGTGCTTATATACAGATGCGGGTATAAATAGTGTTGACTTGGGCTATACAATTAATACACAATTTGACATCGTTCCGTTAAATGGCAACAATTACATGGTTGCCATGTCATATTTGATGTGTCAAATAATGTGAATGTGTCCAGCAAACCAATTAAAACAAGTCCAAGGGGACTATATTGACAAGTTTGTCCACAAATTCATTCCATCGTAAAGCCACAAAAATAGTTTAGAGTCTAAAATGACCAATCCTAGAAAGTCAGCAGGATGTTTGTTTCATTTTTTTTAATAAATAACAATAACGATAACATGTTATAATTTTAAATGAATAAGAGGAGGGCTTGTCAAATTCAAATTTAAACTGAGTAAGTGTTGTAAAATTGGATTCTAACCCTCTAGTTGACAGAGGATAGCTTGAACTGGGAATGGAAATCAACTCCAAGAACGGTGGATCAGATCAGTGAGATTAACATGCTCACTAACATAGTCGGTGATTATCAGCTTATGGATGGAAGAGATAAGTGGAGGTGCACTTTATCTAGTGATGGTGCTTTTCATGTCGATGCTCTCAGATTCAAAATTGATTGCTGGAACATACCATTGATGGAGACCCACTTAAAATGGATTCATGAGATTCCATTAAAGGTGACATGCTTTATATGGAGGGCCAATTTAGACAGAATACTAACCGCATGTGCTCTACTCAAACGAGGCATTCAACTGGATTCCCCCATATGCACATATTGCGGGACTGCAGAAGAGGATGCATCTCATGTGCTCCTTCGATGCCCAATGGCTATGCAGGTTTGGGATTGGGTGTTCCGTTGGTGTGACATCCCTAATGTTCAATTCGCATCAGTGGAGGAATTATTGAAGTTTTCATCGCAGTGGGGGACATGTACAAAGAGGAGAAAAAGCTTCGTCAGTATCTGTTATGGAACGGCATGGCTCCTTTGGAAGGCAATGTGTGATTGGGTATTCAAAAAATCTAGAATCTCTCCTGTTAAGGTGGCTGACTTGGTGAAATCCACAGTGTTTCTGTGGATCGAATATAGGAGAGAACATTGTAATTTTCAATGGATTGATTGGTATATCAATCCTTTTTTGTGTCTGTAATTTCTTTTTATGTTTGTACTTATTTTTCCCTCCTAGCGTCTTGCTAGGGTATGGCCTCTTAATGATATTTGCCGTTCTAAAAAAAAAAACTAAACTGGAATAAATATCATAAATGAATTTATATCATTTTGTTAG